ATATGCGAAGCATGAACTTTTCGGATTGGTTAATTGTTTCAGGGGTGGATACATACCAAGATCTACACCAAACATACCCGCACCATATCATTGCGCTACATTTCCGATGCAACGGTAAGGATGGCCGGTATCGGACAATCGCTCCTGACCGCCAAATTCCGAACTACCCCGGTCGCAAGTTCACAAGACGAGCAATGTGGCTAGTTTTCCATCCTAGCCACACAAACTACTGTCCGACACTTTTCTCCGTGCAGATCTGGTTAGTCTAGTTGTCACATCAGGAGTGATTTTTTAACCGCTGTTGATATTGTTCGACGACCATGGCGACTCAGGAACTTGCATTAACCGCCGTCGAGGATGTACCCTTTACTGTTGCAGACTACAATACGCTGATCGAAAGGAAAGAATTCGATGACAAGCTCGTCTACCACGGCATCCGGTAAGTAGGCTGGACGTCTTGTTCTTCGGCACTCATGCACTCCACACTAACACTCTACAATTGCAGCCACATCGCCAACAAGAAATTTGGCAAGGAGACGTCGGAGATCTTGTTATTGCTGTCGTCGAGCTTGGTGCGCGTGGAGATGAGTAGGGGGTCTGCAGAAACTTTAGGCATGCTCACCAAGGGCTGCATCATCCTACCATTACACACGATGTAAGATTCCGTATTCTCATATTTGGTTGCAGCCCCGCTTTCAGCGCTAATAACGACTCTATCCGCAGATTGCAGCACCCTGCGCGATCGAACTTCGGTCTTCTGATGGTTATTCATCCCGACGATCTACTATTAGAGGAGGAAGTGGGCAAATGTCGCACACGGTTTTTACACTACACTGATCCAAGTGGTGGACCGGACTGTGCTTTTGCAGCTGATGCTATCATGTGAGTGATGTGGTTTCGGTATTATCGTTACTTATCCAAGAATGACGGCAGTTTTTTAAACCCGCAGGTGGTTCAGACAAAAGATGTCTTACGAGTTCGATGAATTGATCAAGTCGGAACCTAGCGTCTACTCGAAGATCAGAGAACTGTTCACCGCAAAACTACGCAACATTCCAACAGAGATCTGGGTGAGTTAGTTAGAGCATTATGTTGAATTTACCGCATAACTAACTGTCTATTGTTCGTTGCGCAGACCCGAGGCATATTATCGCCAGACAACGATCGCGGGACTGGTGTACTCGTTGTAGACACAGTCTACAGAGTGTTCTGCAACTGGACGGCCGTGATGCGGCTACGGCGTGACGGGCATATCCAGAACGTGTGCAGCGAAGCGTCTAACCCGGAAACGTGGCTAGGGACCATGGTGGACATGGCCAAAGAAAAGGTCGAGGCCAGTTCAAGCGTCGACATTACGCGGTCCGACGACAGCGAGGACGAGAGCGGCGGTACGGACAGTTCTGACACCGACGAGACCAGCGATGATAGTGGCGAAGACAGTGATAGCAGTCGATCAGGACAGATGATCCCCAGACAGCCTCTCGGTAGCCCATCTACAAGCGGAGCAGAACATAAAGACCAAGCCGTCTCCAACGTGCCACTGGACGTAAATCGAGAGGCGGAGGAAGAGCAGCGACACGAACAAATAGCGATTTCGCTTCCGGGTAAGGTGGTAATGGAAGGGAATGGCTCGTCGAAACGAGGGGTTTCTGCGGAGACGTCTGCTGCGGGTGAAGGCGAAGAATTAATCGCCAACAATGATGAGCATGTCAACGGGCGGCAGACCCCGAATAGCCGACCTGTTAATCCCATTGGAGACCGTCGAGAGGCTGAGGGGGCGGGATCTGGTCCAGCGGCGAGCGGAATGCTGGATATGCTGAAGGATATTCTATCGAGGGTTGCACGGATCGAAGAAGTCCAACAAGAAACTCCCTCGCAGCATTTCCAGGCCAACGTCATGGCCCGTCTAGATTCTCTGCAGAGCACTGTCGAAGGTTTCGCTACGCGCACAAAAGAATCGCTAGAACAACTTGCGACTGCTTTTGCGAAACTCGATGGTGTACATTTATCCTCGGGATTTGCAAAGGCGGTGAAGGATGCGTCTACGTCCAACATAGAGACGCTCGTGAAAAGCGTTAAGATGGCGGTGAGCGAAGGGATACTTGCGGCGGCTTGTTCGGACCCAACAGAAAGCAATCAGAGGGCTGAAATGGCTGTTGGAAGCTCGGCACGCTTTGTAGCTCGGTTATCTGCACAAACGCCTGCAACCACAACAGCGGATGCGCCAACGGTCGGTGGGTTGAAGCGCCCCGCTGACGCAGCGGCCGATCCCCCTTCTCTGGTGATGACCGCGACGGGAACGACAGGCCTAGTAGCAATTCCGAAAGTAAACGCGGTATCAAATCCGGTCGGAAAGTTGACAATAGGCAGCAAAACTGGGCCAGATAGGTCTCGTCAGACAAAGGGGACTGCGGCTATTAGTCAGCGTCCTACGAAGAAACAGAAGCATGTCCGTTTCGCTGTCACATCCGTTGCGGGGGACACTTTGCGGTCACTTGCTGGCGAAGCAGACCGAAAACTCCATTGCACTAGGATAATTGGGGGTCGATCACGAAGACTCGGACCTTTTCGCAGTGTTGAGGACCGTACATTCGGGGAGGCGGTCTGCAGATGCATTTACCATCCAACGGTTAAACTGCAGGTGGAGGAGGAACCATGGGCCGAAGTGCTCCAATTTGCCCGCCGATGTCCAACTGGGTTGTGGAGTGTCGCCAACGAGCATGGATTATGCAAGATCGAAAAGTAAGAGATTTGTCATTTAGTTGTGCTTTGCATCACTAAGCTAACCTATACCAACCCTTGTTGCTTTGCAGCTTTATCAAAATCAAGGATGCTACTGAGGTCCACCTGCGTGCGAATGCGAGTTGGGAAGTCGCTCTCTGCGCAGGTGCAGCGGCTGTTGCTGCCGAGATGTTTGATGGTGGTATGTACGATGATTCAACTGGCATGACCAAGCAGCAATTCCAACTCGCATTCGCCGCCACGCTGTCAACCTTATTTTCCTCGAGCAGAGGGCTGGCGGGGTTAGACGTCATGGCAGAGGCCGAACGGACTGTCACAACAACAGATCCTCAAGTCACATCTGGCCTTTTCAGCGCTGCAGCGTGTTGCGTCGTAGTCTCACTCAACCAACTGGAGGCCTTGACGGTCGGGCAGTGTGTCGAAACAATACTGCGCACAGTGCTGAGTTGTCCCAACGAGTTCGCCGTAAACCCCATCTGGCGGGCACTAGTCCGGTATGGTGCCAAGATGGCAGCGCAATGGTGCATGTGTAACAAGGCCGCAGAAATGATGAGGAGCGCGGGTTATGGGCAGCTGAACATCGTCTCCGAGCAGGTCGGAGGAAAGGCACGCGACATAGGGAAACGGGTTGTGGGGGATAAGGGAAGGTTGGTGTAAGGTCCGGGACTAAAAATACTGGCAATTCGTAGATTTGTTCGACCGTAGACCCTGCGTGGGATTTTAAATGTGGTATAGCTGTAGTGTGTAATGGTTACAGTACACTACGCACTATGCGCAAATTTGACCAGACCTCGTGGCACACTCGAACCCTGCAATTTTTATTGCCTGGTTGTGGTTTTTTTTATTGTCATAACTGCGCAGACATGTATGGGCATTTCATCGGTCCGCCCACACGTAACCAAATCCACGCTTGTTACAATGTAACATTACATGCAGCGAGTTCCAGTACTGATTCTTGTGCCTATCTGTTGACGCGTCGCGTTTTTAAACCGACCTGCATTTGACATCCAATACAACCATGCAGCCGACTAAACCCACACGTGGCGAAGGGCAACCAAGGTGCCACTACATCGCGCGACCAGACAACCTTCATATCTCGATCGTCCAACAATCATTCGGAGAATTCATTTCACGCCACGTAAACCCATTCTCGGTTTTTTGTTCGCTCTGACACCCCAAGTTTGTTTAGTGGTCTAGTTACGTGACCCTGTAGCCACGGCTCTACCACCGTCTTTGATTTGAGTGCATCTTCGACCATCGGCCGGTCGAACATCGAATCACTCGGTTGCTCAATGTCAGACCGTCAACACTTTTCTGCATGCGGCCTGGGGGTGAATGTGACGCTGTCTGACTACAATCTACTAAAGGCCGAACAAGCGCAGCTGAATGAGACGCTGGTGCACTTCGGTTTGATGTACGTATTTAGGTTAATGACGAGTTCGACCTACTGCCATGGTTTTTACGTGACTGTGTGTCGCCTTGCAGCCATGTGACGAAGCTTCTGAAAGATGAACAGAAGATGTTGCTTTTCTTGTCGACGGGACAGTTGCTGACGGAGAAGGCAAAACCACCTGGATCCACATATTATGGGCTGTTACAGAAGCAGGCCGTCGTGGTTCCCCTTTATTCGAGGTGTGTAGAACAACCACCGGCGCAAAACTCTGTCGTAGTCTGCTCACTAACACTATTTCTTTGCAGCCTTGACCACGCACCAGGGTACCACCACAGCCTTTTGGTTCTTCTAAGGCCAGACGACCTCGGGAGGGACGGGCCAGCCAGCAACTACCGTACGCGCATCTTTCATTTCGACGATCGCGGAGATTTGAGTGACTTGAACCACGCCGTTTTAGCTGCGGATGCTGTGGAGTGAGTAACAGTCGGTTTGGACGGGTTGGTCTCGTATGGCAAGAGGCAATATAAATTGCTCGCTGTGCTGGCTTTGCAGGTGGTTAAAAAAACAACTTCTAGCGGAATACGGCATTGACCACCGGCTGGCTATCATCAATGAACGACTTCGCCTGCTTAGCTTCGAAACTCTGGTGAGCTGCTGGCGCTCTGCTTGGTGAACTATGGAGCCGCCCTTGTTCTAACGAACGTATTGAGGTGTGCAGGCGAATCAAACCGTCGATGAGACGGTGAGCTCTGGCCTACACGCGGTGCACCGTTTTTATAAGCTGGCGTGCAACTGGTCTGCGATAACCAGCATCGGCCAGACGGAATCGATCAAGAACGTTGGCAGACTTGTGGTTGGACCTAATATGTTGCGGCGGGACCTTCTACAAGTTCTTTCTAGGGAGTTAAACACTATGGGAGTTGTGGAGGAAGCAGTAGCTAACACGCTGCAAGGAGCGAGCACACAGGATGGCCAAAACAAGGGGTTCCAATCGCTGGGAGTCGCCATTCCTGCAGACGAAGTGAATGAAGGGGTTGTACTGGGGTCGCGCTCTACAGACAAGGTCCAGCTGCCTGAACGGGAAAGTGGTGCTGGAGATAAGCGACCTGCGGACGCATCGGTTGACGTGCGTCATATGCAGCAACCAAGTGTGCAAGCTAGAGAAACCGTCCCAGGTTATGTTGATTTCGGTGGGGAGCTTCCTCATGACTTTCACAACGATGGAAGGGATGCGGGCTTCGGAGACGGGTGGGAAGAAGAGACCGAAGAGAGAAGCAGGTCACCGTCGGATCATCGCCGAAGGCGGCGATCTAAGAAGGACGAGATTATCGAACTGTTGCTAGAGCTGGGACGAGAAGTTCGTGACGGGAGGGCTGAAATGAAGGGAAAGATGCAGCAGATAGAGGCCGACATGCAGCGCTCTTTAGAGGATGTTAAGACTTCAACAGCGTCCTCACTGCAACAACTAGCACAGTCCGTTTCTGGTGTGGCCGTTGCAGAACGCGTGTCATCCTCTGTGGCCACCGCAGTGAAAGCTGCGACAACGCATTTGCACTTGCGCGACACAAACGCTGTTCCGGTTTTCACCGAGAAGCAGCTTGAAGATGTCGTCGCAGCGGTGAAGAAGGCAGCCGCAGATGCCCTTGAGTCGGCGGCACAGAAAGGGATGTGGACGCTGGCTGTCCCCACTGCTTTACATCAGTCGATCGAGGAGTCTGTCCAGCGGGCCATCTCGCGCGATGCCCTATCTACCGACGGCGCTGGTCTACCACCGAACCCTAAACATGCGGTTGTCGAAGCCACCTTCGCCCCAACTCCCAACCTCGCGAATCAAGGGGCTGCGAATGTTGCGAATGTCTCGCCGGTCGCGGAGACGGAGGATGCGCGGATTTTTCACGAGGTGTATACTGTACCAGTAACGCAGGGTGATGTAGTGGACAGGTCGAGGAAAGGAGGCGACGTGAATTTCGCACGGCAAGTAGTCAACAGCTGCGCTGTGGAGCAGTGCAATACTTTGCCTGTGGCAGCGGGGGAGCGTACGGGCACTGCGTCTCAAATTTTCGATGATTTGGTCAGACTACCGGTCAACAATAGTGCAAATGTGGGCAACCACCCTACGTCGAACGTTCCCGCTCCGAACATGTCAGGCCTAAAGCAACAGAGTCGGGTGAAGCGGCAGAAGATGACCAGCGAGGCCACCGAAGTTACCAAGCAAGGCAAGACATTGGGTGCGGAAGGACCCCCGAGGGGGCCTGGGCTGTTCGACCGTCCTGCGCAGAAAGGTGGCCCCCGAAAGTGGACCGCGGATCAAACCGTCGGCGGTCGAAGGCGGTCTCTGGGAACGTTCGATAGCCAGGAGGAACAGCATTTCTGTGCGGCTGTCTGCTTGCGTGTCTATTTTCCGGACTGCAACTTGCAAAAGTTCAAGATACTGCCCAAGGAGGACCGCAAGTGGAAGGAGCTTCTCGATTTTGCCCGCAAATGGCCGACAGGAGTTTGGAGCGTGGTCGAAGAGTATGGTTTTTGCAGTCTGAAAAGGTGCGTCATATCTTTCGAACTGATAGTTAATGCGCAAAACGAGAAACTAATGGTTTTATCATCGACTCTGCAGTTTCGAAGTGGCGAAAACCAAGACAACCGAACTCGAGTATGCGGGACAGAGCTGGGAGATAGCCCTTTGCGCTGGGACAGCAATTGCCGCTGGAGAACGCTTCAATGGGGCATTGGAGAAGCCTCCTTACGGAGTGGACACCACGCTATTTCTTGCCACTTTAGCCGGTACACTCTCGAGCCTTTGGGCAACATGCAGAGGCCTAGGTGAGCGAGAGGTGATGCTCGAAGCTCTAGGCGCAGCATCCGCCGCTGGTGGTGCGCCTACTTTCTCGAAACTTGCTGTTGCTGCAGCGGGTGCTGTCCTAGTCGCCATGGGTCAGCAGAAGGAGCCTTTGACGTTCAAGAGAGCTGTAGAGAATGTGAAGGCGTCTGCTTTGTCTGGAGTTCGGCTCGACCACGTTGCATGGCCAAATGTTGTCGAGCTGGCTGCAGATGTGGCGGTCCGTTGGTGCTTGTGTGGGCACGCTGTCAAGTGGCTGCGATCGAGGCGGTGTGGAGCGGTAGACGTTGTAACAGAGCCCCGCTTGCGTGGGAAAAAAAACGGGAGGGGTGAGGGAGGAGCGGTGGGGGGAGGAGCGGATGCGTAGAAGCCTTCGACGAAATCGTGATTGGTCTTGACTGAATTGCTCTAAGTGGGTGTATTAGGTTTTGTAGACAAGTCGAAATAATTGGATTTGCGGCCAACTTAGTCATGCAGATTTGGCTAAGGAATCACTCTTACATAAAATGCAGATTTGCGCGTAGAACAATAGTACGGGCATCGTGCCATCAAATACATTGCTGCAGATGACAAACATCGTTTCGGAATGTGGCACAATGTTCACCAGCGATGCGACCACTTCATCACGCTGTCTAGGTGAAGTTTTCCGAGTATGTGATCATTTCTAAACCCTTATCAAACATTGCCATCTGCACAATGAGCGATCGACAGAATGACCACGCTGTGCAAGATGTGTCCTAATCTGTGATATTATAAGAGCTACGAGATTATCTGCACAATTACCATCGACAGAGTATCGATAGAATCTCTGAACAAGATGCGATCTGCAAACTTACTCGGACACTTGTGTCGTGGTGAACAAACCAACTATCCATTCAACAGATGAAAAATCGTTGCACCCTCAATTCAGAAATCGCGGTCGGGCAATCTAAGCTATGCGCATATCTGGTACTTCGACCTCAATCTGCGATCTCGTTTGCAAGTACACAACGAGATGTATACCATGCGCGAGTATCTGCAATTTCTGATCTGCACGAGGTGGAAATATCGTAGTGATGCAGTCCTCTGCATCATCGCATGTGAAAGTGCAACCAGTTCTACGCGGAAAACACCAAACACAATTCTCTGACAGCCAAAACGAGTGTCTTGTTTGAAATGACTTAGCCTTGAAATTGTGTTAATTTCAGATAGGCCCATAATATGAAAGTAAGCAGAAATTGGGATGTGGAGACTTTGGATTGCTCTTAATTTTGGCAGGTGTGCTATATCTGGTGCACAGAGCGTTCAACTATAAAATCAGGTCATGTGAGGAGGTGGATCTTGATTAATGGCCAAATAACCCATAATCACGCAAGTAGGTTGATTTGTGATCTACAGCTTTGTGACTGGTCTGATTTTTTGCAGAGTGGTTATATGTAATGGACAGATGATACCATACAAAATTCAACTGATTTGGACCACTGGTTCTTGATTTACAACCTAAAATGTAAAAGCAGAGAAAGGGGTGATAATGAGATGTGGAGATCTTAGGTTGATCATATTTTTTGCAGAGATGCTATGTTATGTAGAAAGACAGTGACATACAAAGTTCAGGGCAATTGGTCCACTGGTTCTTGAGTTATGGCAAAACATGCAAAAGAATGCAAGTTGTTGAAATATTGATGTGGAAATATCAGAAAGACCAGATTTATTGCATGGAGCCTTTATATAGTATAAGGGGACTACCTTCCAAAAATTGGGCCATTAAGATCTCTGGAGCTTGAGTTATGGTCAAAAGAGTTACGTGCACAAGTTACGATGGATAGGCAACAAACAGTTGTAACCTTCCTGTATCAGGACAGTTGTGGCATTCAGTTAGATGGAGCACTACCTGTCATTACCATGCAAAAACCTAAACAATGTGTTTCATGACTACTAACCATGTTGTTTGCTAGAAACTGACATTGCATGTTATACAAGGTTCATGTGTTGTAAGAACAAAGTAGTAAAGAAGTCAATGTTGGCCAGTAAAACGAAAACTTGCCATTAGGTTCAGTAGACCATGGGGGACCAGGAAACAAACAAACAGGTGAAAAATTCAACCAGGTGACAACACAGGAAGCAATCAAATAGGTAGTAAACACAATGCTCATTCATGATATTAACATACTTAGAGTGTCTGAAATGCAATGTTTCAGTTATAGGAGGTCATCTTATGTTAGCAAGAGCCATTTAAATGAATAAAAGATCACCTGATAATCGCACCTAATCTGCACGCATTTCATGTGCTTCTTTATCCACTTCTTTGAAGGTTTAAGTCACTTGTTTGGATTCTAAGAATTGCAGCTATAAATACACTGTACCTTTGCTGTTCACGGGTTCGACGGCTGCGTTACCGTCGTTTAGGTCGCGAACCGTCCGCGCGACGCTCGTGCTCCTATCTGACGGCTAGACGATGTAACACCGTTTTTTAAAAAATTCGTCGGTCTCGCGAATCATATAACTGCGAGATATATGAAAGCTCGTCCTGGCTCGTCGGGCACAAGCTAGTTCGCCGAGAATTTTGGCTGTAAAAAATCTGAAACTCGTCCTGGCTCGTCCTGGAGGGGGGGGGGGTGCGGCACCTGCGCGGGCTTTCATATATCCTTAGGAAGCCCTGACTTTGCTGGAGAAGGGTTGCTCTGTTGGGTGGCTCGGAAATCGAGAAGTTCGTCGCGCCCCCACCCGTCCGAGCCTAGTGCCCCGCTAAACTCGCGGGGCTGCTCAATTTTGTTCTCCGCGGGCATTGTTCCGCCTTCTGTGCTGCCCTGAGCGACTGACAGCCGCGGTTCACGGATAAAATAAACGTTGCCAGTGTCTGACCGTAACCATTATTTTCGTGTTCGCACTGCCAAGCTTCGATAAAAATGCAAGCTCGGGCAGAGGGGCGACAAACTCGGGGCAGCCACTCAACAGCTCTGGTGAAGCGCGCAAGCCGTTCTTCAGAGGCTGCAGTACCCCAAGCCTGAGCGCAATTTCCGAAAGCTTCGATTTCAAGGCCTGCGCCAGATCCCTAAACCTTCGGCACCGAACCTCACTGCCTCGGTTCCTCCATTCAAACCAAATAGTGTGGTTCAAGGTGCTTCAGCATTGATTTGAACTTTTATAATTATGCGACAACGCAATCAATTAGGGCTTCAGTATTGTGATTGCGTTGTTGCATGAAGTGCTTGGGATGAACTTACATTACTTTCAGTTCATCCCAACCACTTCATGCAACAACGCAATCACAATAAAAGAATTAGAGGGGAGGTGGAAAGGATACTAAGCACCAAGCTGTACACGAAAATTCTATTATGAAACGGATTTTGCAGGACTGCAGTGGTACACACAAGATCGACACGCTGCACCACATTTTCCCTCTCTGAACGCACTACTATCATGAGTTGACTTTGTAAAGCTAGGTACCGTACATTTGATTTGCTATCGTTGGGGAAAAAAATGGTACAGTGAAATTTGTGCTCTATCTCCGAGTAGCTCTGAATGTTTTTGGAGGTTGGTCATGCCGCACGGAGTATTCATGCTGCTCCTTCCTAGACCCATGGTGCTTCATGCTGCTCTCCTCCCCCACACCCCCCCTACGACCTCCACCACCCTCCTGCCCACCAGCTCCCACCTTCTTCCCCTCTTCCTCTCTTCTCGACTCGTGCACACGCCCTTCCTGCTTGCTCTGTTGGCTCTCTTCCGTCTTCCTCTCATGCAAACCGCCCTCTTGCCGTCGGAATGTCAGCTTCCGTTCCGCACCACTCCCACAGCTGTTGCTCCTCTCCCCCTCCCCACGCCTCCTCACACTCTCCTGGTCCGTTGCACCTGCTGCCGCTCCTCCAGTGCTCGAGCCCCCCCTCTCCTTCACACTCAAACCCCCATCACGAGCATTAAAGCCCTTCTTTTCATGCACCCAGCTCCTCTCACCCTGCTGGATGCTCGATCCATGCCTTGCATCCTCCCTCCCCTTTTTGAGTGTAATCCCCTTTTCTCTAGACAAATCCCCCTCCCTATCCAGTCGCCTTCCATCCTTGTCGCACCGCTGCATGCCCTCCTTGATCCCTTCACTCCCTCTCTTCAACTCCTTGTTTTCCTCCCTTTCCCTCACCCTCCCATCTGCCCTTCCTCTCATCCTCTCTTCATCCCCCTCTCTGCTTCTTCCAGCTGCTCTGTCCTTCTCCATTCCATCTCTCCCCAGCCCACTTCCCCCCTCCCTCATCACTCCTCCACCCCGCCCATCCCTCTCTCTTGCCCAACCCCCTTTGCTCTCTCTCCTCCTCTCAACTACCCTGCCCCTGTCCCAATCATTCGAGTGCTTCCGCTTGTTCCAGAATCTATCCTTCATTCCATCAGCTCTCCTATCCCTATCCCTCTGCCTCTCTTCTCCACTTCTACCCTGTCCTTCTCTCTTCTGCTCTTTCCCTGCAGTCCCCACAGCCTGAAAATCCTTCCCTACATCGTCCCTTCTCACTCCCCTTTCCCTCTCCTGGTCCCTCCTCAACCCCCTTTCTCTCTCGTCGTCCCTTCTCAACCCCCTTCCGTCTTTGCCCCTTCTCACTTCTCTTCCTCTCTCATCTTCCCTTCTCGCTCCCCTGCCCCTTTCATCCTTCTCGTTGTGACCCGCATCTCCCTGTACCTCCAATCCTTCTGCTCCACTTGCCCTCACATCATCCTCACTCATCTTTGCCTCTTCACCACCTTTTACATGCTCCATGCCCTTCCCCTCATATCCCATGCCTTTCCCCATCCCTTGCTGCATTTTCCCCTCCTTTCTTCCCTGTGCAATCTCCTTCTGTAATCCATCTCCACCCCTCTTCCGCCCATCTCCACTCCTCTCCCGCCCTTCTCCACTCTTCTCCCGCCCATCTCCACTCCTCTCCCGCCCATCTCCACTCCTCTCCCGCCCATCTCCACTCCTCTCTCGCCCATCTCCACTCCTCTCCCGCCCATCTCCACGCCTCCCCCACCCGTCTCCACGCCTCTCCCGCCAACCACTACTCCCTTTTCCCCCATCTGCACTCTCTTCTCGCCTTCTCTTCCCAAGTGACCCTTCATCACGCCCTGCATTCGCTTCCTCTCCTCCCCTCACCCTCTGCACCTCCCCTCCCCTCAACCTGCTTCCAGAGACCCTTTCCCTACTACCCCCACCTGGCACATTACCTCTCCACTCTCTCCCCTCACCACTTCCCCTTCCACTGCTGCCAACCCCTCTCGCCCCGGCCCTCCTACCTCCCTCTACCTTGCCCCAGCTCCTTTCCCCTCCAGATTTTCGGGACCCTTCAAAGCTCCTCCTCTCCCCTTCCGCATTCCTTCCTCCCTTGTCCTCACGTACTCTCCTCACACCACCCCCACCTCCTCCGTCCCTGTCTTCTCGCATCCCCTGCAGTACAGGTGTGCTCCTCCCCCCTTCACCTTCTACTCTCCCTCCTCGTCTCTCCACCCTCATCCCACCGCTGCTGTTCCCCACTTCCTCCTCTCGCTCTCTGCCTTCTGCCGATCCTGCTCCCGAGGTCCCTTCCCCAGCCACCATTCTTCCTGCATTCTTCCCTTGCTCCTCCCTCATCCTGCTCCTCTCACCACCAGGAAGTGTAGTGGCTTGCCTGCCCCCACTCATGCTACTCATGCTGCTGCTACTGTCGCCGCTGCTGGTGCTACTCGTCTCCTCACTACTGCTGCTGACACTGCTGCTGCTGGTGCTGTCACTGCTATCACTACTACCACTGCCATCACTGCTGCTAGAATGCTGCAAGCTGTTGCCGCCCCTTGACCCCGCCATAAGCTCGCCTACATCTGCCTTCATACTTGCACCCGAGTTGAGCCTCGCATTCCTGCTACCATGCCCCACCATGCCCCCACTGCCATGCCCCACCATGCCACCACTGCCATGCACCTCCAAGCTGTCTGGTTCTGCTGCTGATCCCCCCACTTCCACCCTCTGCCGCTTGCCCCACCTCCCGCCCACCTCCCCTGCATCTGACCCCTCCCTTTCGCCCATCCCTTGTCCGACACCCCTTTGCAACCCCACAACTCCCGGTTCCTCGCGTCCCTCATCTTGCCCCTCTGCCTCTGCCCCTCCTGCACCAAGTGCAGCAGGCAGATGCAGGGCATGGGGCATCAGAGGAGGAGCAGGAGGTAGCAGAGGGAGGGCCGAAGCTATGAGTGAGTGTGGGGCGTGGGGAGGGATGGAGCAAGGCGCTGGGTAGGGGGATGGAGGAATTGGCAGGGCTGTGTGGGAGGGAGAGGGCATGATGAGAGGCGTTGAGCGGGAGGGAGACGAGGGGAGGCTTGGGGTGGCGTGGGAGGGAGATGGGGTGGCATGGGAGGGAAATGGCATGGCGGCTGGAGCAGTAGTAGTGGGTGCAGCAGCGAATAGGGTTACGGAATGGGGAGGCGGCATGGAAGGGGAAGAGGGCATGGGAGAGGAAGAGGATACAGGAGGGGACAGGGTTGCATGTGCATGAGGGGAAGGGACGGCAGGAAGACCAGGGGGAGAGAGAGCATGAGGGGCGTCAAGGGGTAGCTGTGAAGGAGGATGGATTGAGCCAAGAGTCATTCCACTGACGTGTAGCTCGAGACTGGGCGGCTGCTGGTGAGTGTGAGGCTGTTCGTGAGGGGCTAAGGGAGAATCAGGAAACATTCGGCTCCACCACCCTTCATCCCCCACATCCCCACCATCCCCTCCATCCCCATCATCCCCACCATCCCCTCCTCCCGCTCCACCCTCCCCTCCCCCATCTGCTCCCCAAGAGCCATGCCCCTGGTCCCCATCCCCCCACATGCCACTCGCCAGTCCCGAGTGCCCTGCACCACACCCCTCCTCTCTTACAGCCTCGTGATTATCCCCCTCACCATCACCATCCCCGTCATCTCCGCCCCAGTCACAGGGAGCAGACAGCCCTTTATCCATGCCTGCAGCTGCCATGCTTCCACCCTCACCTCCCACACTCCCATCCACACTCACTACCCCCCCAGCTAACTCCCTCCCATCCTCTCGAACTCGCTCCGTGCGCCCCTCTGCTTCACACTGCTCCTCCTCTCCCACCCCGCCCTCCTTTCCCTCCGCCCTCACCCCTTCGTGCCCCACAAGCCCCCCATGCTCTACTTGCAAACCCCCATGCGTGTCCACATGAGGGGGCTCATGCGTGATACACCGAACAGATGCAAATGTGTGGGCATGTGCATGTGCATGTGCATGTGAATCCCCTGATGCCATACCATGCACATGGCCCCATGTCACTCCTCCCACCTCGCCATCCTTTCTCTCCCGGTGCCTGCCTTCACCCCTCCCCACGTGTCCCTCTGCCTCTTCCATTCCACTCGCCAGTATGTCCCCTGCAAGTCCACCCACGTGGCCTCCACCCACGTGGCCTCCACCCACATCCTGAACTTCCGCCACCATCCGATCCAACTCACTCCACAGCTCCTGCTTCCACTGCTCCTCCTCTCCCTCCCCTCCCTCCCCTCCCTCCTCCTCATCTACTACCATTGCTCCCGCCTCCTCTTCCCCGAAGCTCCCCATTGTGGCCCTCTCTCCCTCATCACTAATAATCTCCTCCTCCTCCCTTCCCTCCTCCTCCTCCTCCCTTCTCTCCTCCTCCTCCTCCTCCTCCTCCTCCTCCTCCTCCTCCTCCTCCTCCTCCTCCTCCTCCTCCTCCTCCTCCTCTTCCTCCCCCTCTCCTTCCCACTTAACACCATCTGTTCCCACTCTCTCCTGACCCTCCATCTCAAAATCTACACTCTCACTGTTCACCGCATTCAACCCATCCCTGCTCACCACACGCACATGCACTATCTCTTGCAACTGCAATCGCTCAGCCTTCTCCCCTTTTACCACCACATGCACCCAGTTACCCTCTCCTTCCTCCTCCCCGCCACTGCCCTCCTGCCCCTCCTCCTCTGGCCCCCCAAACTCACTGTTATTTTGGACTCGCCCACACACTTCCTCCTCCTCCTCCTCCTCCTCCTCCTCCTCCTCCTCCTCCTCCTCCTCCTCCTCCTCCTCCTCCTCCTCCTCCTCCTCCAACTCACTCCTCGTCTCAACCAACCCCTCACTCACTTCCCACACGTCCCTTCCCCTGCGCCCAACCTTTCCACCTCTCCCCCTGCTCCTTGCTCCAAATCTCATCCCTTCTGATTCTTCCTCCTCACTGCATGGCACATCTGCCACCCATTCACTGGCCCTCACTCCGTCTCCCCTGCCTCTTCCTCTCACCTGCCTGCCTCTCCCTTTCTCCATGTCCCTGCTCGCCCTCTCCCTCTCCCCTGCTCGCCTTCCCCCACCCCTGCTCAGCAGACCCACCCCTATCTCCTCTTCAAAATCAATGTCTCTTCCACCCCGCCTCTCCTCTTCCTCTTCCTCCTCTTCTTCCTCCTCATCCTCCTCCTCCTCTTTCTCCTCTTCTTCCTCCTCCTCCATTTCCTCCTCCTGCTCCTCTTCTTCTTCCTTCTCTTCCTCGCAACCCAATGGCTTCTCCTCTTCCTCCTCGACTTGCCTCCTCGCTCGCTTCACACGCCCTCCCTTAACTTTCTTACCATTGTTTTCAGCCACCTCCTCACTCCCCCCTTCTCCCCACATCACCTCCTGCAACCTCTTCTGCTTCCCACCCCCCTCCACACCTCCTTCCACACCTCCCTCCAAACCTCCCTCCACACCTCCCCCATCAACCCCCACCAATACCCTCCCTCTCCCCTCATCCCCAACCCTCCCTTCGTCCCTATACCGCACACCCTTATCCGCATGACCACTAGCACCTGCCTGCCCCGTGACACGTGCAAGCACGCCCGCACCCCCATGCACATCCGCATCCCTAGGCATACCCATGCCCGCATCCCCATGCACGCTCACATCCGCACGTGCCTCCTCCCCCAGGCACCCATGGCACGTGTAGGAGGGCTGGCGCAGGGCCGTGGTCCACCCCTTGACGCCGTAGCCCTTGCGGCGCTTGAAGCACTGGTAGCAGAAGCGGAGGGCGCACAGGGCGCACTGCACTGCTGCTCCGTGGCCCGCGCACCACACACATGCAGATCTGTTCCCATCAGTACCTGCAGCTGCTGCCGTAGCTGCTATTGCTGCTGCTGCTGTTGCTGTCGCTGCTGCTGCAGCAATGGACGTTGCTGCTGAGGCAGGTGGAGGTGGTGGTGGTGATGCAAGCGGCTTGGCTTCACACTCCTCCTTCACTGCGATTCGCTGTTCCCTCATCCCAGCACTCTCTCTCTTCCTCTCACCACTCCCTCGTTTTATATCATCTCGAACCTCTCTCAGCACTCCTGCTCTCCTCTCACCACTCTCCCTCTTCCTCTCATCGTGTTCCTCTGTCTCCTGCACCTGCTGCATCTCCCACGGGTCCCTTGCGCCATCAGCACTCAACCCATCATATCCACCATCATCGTGACCAGCTCTACCACCATCACCATCAACGGTGGCCGCAGCAGGGGCAGCAGCAGCAGCACAAGGACAGGGGAGGTTGGAGGAAGGAGAGACATTCTCGTGGAGGGGTGTTGATGGTGTGAGCTGAGCCGCCTCTAGCTGCTGCATTCGGGCCTGATGGGCAAGCAAGCAAAGGGGGAGGGAAGAAAATGAAGACGGAAGGAAGTGGAGGAGGAGAGAGATACTTATGGAGAGCGGCTGAGGTGGGGACCCGTGTGTGCCCTGCAAGCCAAAAGGCGCATGGTGGTGGCGGCTCACAAAGGCACGGCACATTGCATCCATTCACAAGCATGGCATAGGGCCGCCACTCACATGTGCGAGGTGAAGCAGTGAGGGCATGCCTCCATTCGCCTCCCTCCGCTTCCTCCAATGCTCCCTCACAGCCCCCAGATGCCCCCTCGCTGCACCTATATGCTCCCCCAGAAACCCCGGCTCCCACCCTTGAGACATCAAATCAACAGCCGCTTTCACTGCCCCCACGTGCCCCTTCTCTCTGTCTACACGTCTCTGCTCCCTCTCCACCAGAGCCCCACCACAGCCTTCATCTAAAGACGCTGCTGTCACACTGACGACAACCCCTGCTGTGTTCTCATGCTTGGCAGTCCCATGTGTGGCAGTGTCATGTGTGCCATGGGCACCTGAGGGAGCGGCTGCTGCCTCCTCACCCCCTTGCACACCTGCAGCATGTGCGGTACAGAAGGCCGTCACCTGGCGCTGGTACAAGTCAGTTTCTCGCACCTGTGAGAGAGGAATGTGAGGGATAGAGGGGATAGGACGGTACTTTAGGTTGAGAATAAATCTGCATAGAATTGGGATTGTAAGGATTTTGAGCCAAATCAAAACGAATTTCGCCTGGAAAACGTTTCCACATGAGCAACAAGTCAACAACCTACGCCACAAGAAGAGCATACTTCCATGAAACAATAATAATGAGTCTTACAATAGCGGAGCAGCCATGCAGCAGGCCGCAGCGAACGTGAAAGCGGGTGGGGCAGAGAGGGTAGGCGCAGGGGAGCAGATCGAGAGGGCTGTCAGCCTGATGGCAGAAGGCACAGCGCGCCACTGCTGCTGCTGCTGGCGCCGCCAAATGTTGTCTGCTTTCTGCCCTCTTCTTTGCAGCAGCTGCCACACCCCTGTGCGTGGGAGAGGAGAGTTTGGAAAGGGAGTACGGGGTGAGGGACAGAGAGGAAGAGGTACGGAGGGAGAGTTAGACAGAGAGAAGGGGCGAGGGAGAGTGAGAAGGGGCGAGGGAGAGTGAGAACGGGAGGAGGAGAGAAGGAACACGAGAAAGGTAGGAGAGAAGAGCGGGAAGAGACAGAGGGACTCACATGATGGGTTGAAGGGACTCAGCTTTGCCGAAGAACACATGGCAGTCAAAGAGAGCACATGTCACATGCACCCAGCGTATGTGCCTCAACGCAGCTGGCATGCACTTCGACACAGCTGGGATGCCTCTCAATGCAAGAGGCATGCCTTCCGATGCTGCAGCTGGCATGTCCATGTCTCCTTGATGCCTCGCCTTGCCCTCTTGACACGCGTCACTGACTTGTAAGCACGTAGCCTTGTCATCTTGACCCCTGTTCGGGTCACGTTTCCCTCGGCCCGCGCCGCTACCACTTGCACTGCAGATTCTATTCACCTCCCCTGCCGCATCTCTCCCACCGCTGCCACGCTCCCTCTGCAGCAACCTGTGCTCAACTCCCTCCTTCACCCCACTGCGCTCCTCTTTCAGCATGACAGGACCAGCAGCACCCACTGCGTTCGCCTCACCCTCTCCTTTCATTCCTCTGCCCAATTCTTGGCAGCCGCTACCCTCTCTCTTCTTGCCCACCCTTGCTTGCCACTCCTGCATGTACCTGCCCTTCCCCTGCCCCACTCTGTTCTTTTCACCCTGCCCCTGCATTCCTCCTTCCCGACTTCTGATCTTGTGTGTCCTGCCATCATGGCCGTTGCTTTTGCTACTCTCATCGCTGCTGCTCCCGCTGCTGCTGCTGCTGCTGCTGCTGCTGCTCCCACTGCCACTACCACTCTCGCTCTCACTACTGCTCTCACTCTCACTTCCACTGCTGCTGCCACTGCTACTACTGCTGCTCGTGTCCACACAGTTATAGCTTCTCCTCAGTTTTTTCCCCCTTGAACCAGATTCACCAATCACACGCTGCTCTTTGTCGCTCCCTCCTTGCTTCTCACTTCTCCCTCCACCCTGCCTGCCCTTCCCATTAACCTCCCCCCCTCTCCCATTCCCGCCCTCTCGCTCCCTCTGCCATTTCCCCCCAGCGTTGCCACCATCACGGACAAATTCAGCACCTCTTCTTTCACTCTCCTTCCCCTCTCGTCCCGCATCCTTCCTGGAAACGTGCCCCTGGTGCTCGTGGCCTTCTCTCCTCCTCCTCTGCTGCCTGCTCTCTGCTCGCTTCCTCATCAATGCCCGACCCTCCTTCCTTTCACCACCCGACTCCCCACCAGCATCCCCTCTGATCCCTGCCGCCACTGCTCCTCCCACTCGCCCCTCAGCCCTGGCGGAATGCCCCTCTGGTCCGATCAACTTCTCCTCTGCTCCCTCCCCCCGCTCCCCACGCCCTTCGGCTGGCATCGGCCCGTCCAGGCACAGCTTGAACGCACCTCCTCCGGTTAAGCGACACAAGGCACAGCTGGGGGAGTTGAGGGGAGGGGGGGAGGGCTGTTGAGACGTCTCGACAGCACGGCTTGATGCACCTCCTCCTGTTACGCTACACAAGGCACAGCTGTGGAAGGGGTGGGGTGGTGTCGGGTTGTAACATTTGAGTCGACTCAAAATTCATCCAGTGGAACATCCAGAACACAGCTTGAATGCACCTCCTCCAGTTACACGGCATAATACACAGCTGCGAAGGGGGTAGGGTGGTGGGGGGTGACAGGTTGTAACTGTGGGGGTAAGGACCGGCATGAGACAAGGATAATCTGCAACAGTGCAGCTTCAAAGGTGGACGGCCATGGAGGCATCCCGAGAGTGGAGCTGCATGCATGCATGCATGCATGACAAACATGTGGTGAAGGGAAATGACGGGAGGAGAGAGGTATGGCAGCAGAGGCGAGAGCGCACAGAAGAGGCAGCACAGTGCACGCATACTCACGTGAGGGGAGGCGGCTGGGAGCAGGTGTTGGCAGCAGCAGCGCCGCCGTCGCTGCTGCACGCTCTGGCGTAGAGACGGCACGGCACACTGTACACATTGACTTGAACCACCTGGTACTCACGTGAGGGGAGGAGGCTGGTGTTGGCAGCAGCAGCGCCACCGCTGCTGCATGCTTGGGCGTAGAGATGGCACGGGACGAACATAGCGCCACTTGGCATCTCCCTCCCTCCCTCTACCCTTCAATGCACGTATACTCACGTAGGTGGAGGCGGCTGGGAAGAGGTATTGGCAGCGCCGCCACTGCTGCTGCAAGCTCGGGCGTAGAGATGACATGGCACACAGCGTCACTTGACTTGAACCACCTGGTAGGGGGACCCCCCTGCATGCACGCATACTCACGTGAGGGGAGGCGGCTGGGAGCAGGTGCTGGCAGCAGCAGCGCCGCCGCCACCACCGCTGCACGCTCTGGCGTAGAGATGGCACGGCACACAGCGCCACCTGAACCGCTTCGCTGCTGTCTGCTTGCTCAGCTGCATGCCCTGACCAGCAGCAGCACCATCACCAGCAGTGGCACCAGCAGCACCGCCACCAGCACCATGCCCACTCTGACCTGACTCTCCACCTGGCCCTTCTCCCTCTGCCTTCCCGTCGCTAGCCAGTGGGAGCAGCGACGGCAGGGGGGGGGCGTGCAAGGAGGGGGGGAGGAGGGAGCGCGCAGCCCAGAGGGGGGGGAGGCCCACAGCACCGTAGCAGAGCTGGTGGACTGCTGTGGCGCAGAGGGAGCAGCAGAGGAACTGGTGGGGGGGGAGAGGTGGATAGCGGTGAGGGGGCGGATTGGGGGGAAAATAGGTGAAGGATGACTCAAACGGCAGCCCAGAGGGGGGGAAGGCCCACGGCGCCGTAGCAGAGCTGGTGGACGGCTGTGGCGCAGAAGGAGCAGCAGAGGAACTGATTGGGGTGGAGGGGGGAGGTTGGATGGGTGGGATGGGCGCGAAGAAAGTGGATGGGCGGGGGAAGTTAGGAGAAGAGAGAAGCACACAGCATGCAGGAAACTGCAGGGAGTTGACAGTTGTGTCAGCTCAAAAGGGAGCGCGCAGCCCAGAGTGGGGGCAGGCCCACTGCGCTGTAGCAGAGCTGGTGGACTGCTGTGGCGCAGAGCGAGCAGCAGAGGAACTGGTGGGGGCGGGGGGGGAGAGGGGTGAATGGGTGGGGAGTTTTGAGTTCACTCAAAAGGCAGCCCAGAGGGGGGAAAGGCCCACTGCTGCATAGCACAGCTGGTGGACGGCTGTGGCACAGAGGGAGCAGCAGAGGAACTGATGGGGGGAGGGGGAGAGGGAGAGGGTGGATGGGAGGGAGGGTTAGGTGAGGAGAGAAGCAGACAGCATGCAGGAAACAGGAGAGGGCAGGGACTTAGTATCGAAGCAGAGAGGGGGAAGGCCCACTGCGCCATAGCAGAGTTGGTGGAGGGCTGTGTTGCAGAGAGAGCAGCAGAGGAACTGATAGGAGTGGAGGGGAGAGGTTGAATGGGCGGGATGGTCGGGAAGAGGGTGGATAGGCGGGGAAGTTGGGTGAGGAGAGAAGCACACAACAAGCACGATACATGCAGGGGACTGCTGCAGGGGGTTGTGGGTGTCACTTCACATCACATGTCCGTGCACGCAAAACAAGCACGGTACATGCTGTGCCATGCCAACCCACACACAGCTCGGAATCTGAGGCACTGAATGAGCATGCCTGCATGCCTGAAAGCATCTATGGTGCGGCACTCACAGGGTTGTAGGGCGTCTCCCCCGGCTGGAAGCACACATCGCATCGCAGTGCCTCTTCTGCATCATGCCGCACTGCCTTTGTCCTTGTCTCCTCCGGCCCCTGTGGTTCTCGCAGGGTTGTCGGCCCCTGCGGTGCTCCTATTCCGCCCTCCTCTCCTGCTGCCCTCAAGCCTCCTTGCATGGGGAGCTCGAGGTCAGAAGCATCAGCATGGGCCATCACCCCAGCAGCACGTGCAGAGGCAACATCCACATCAGCAGCAGCGTTGTCATCATTATTGTCAACAGCAGCAACAGCAGCTGTGGCAGCAACATCAGGAGCAACAGCATCACAGGCGATGTTGTGAGCAGCAGCAGAAGGAGTAGCAGGGTGAAGGTCCAGGGAGGCCATGCACGCCTCAAATGCCTCCTCTGACAGACCCATGTTCGGAGGCGTCTCATCAGCATGCACATACGCATGGGCATGGGCATGAGGCTCATAAGCATGGGTGAATCTGCTGTTGTAGGCCGTTAGCCATGCAGCATCCTCCTCATCCATGTCATACCACATGTCATACCACATGCCATGCTGCATGCCATGCTGCATGCCATGCTGGATGCCATGCTGCATGCCATCATGCTGCATGCCATGCTGCATGCCATCATGCTGCATGCCATGCTGCATGCCATCATGCTGCATGCCATGCTGCATGCCATCCTGTTGCACGGCACAGCGCAGCACTCGCCTCCTGACTGGTCGGAAGCCGCCACCCATCATGTCCTGCCAAGCACATCCACACAGCATGGAGATCAAACGTCCGGTCAGATCATGAGATTGCTTTTTCAGGCAGAAGATTTTAGGTGGAGGAGAGACGGCAGGGTACAGAGTATAATGCGGAAGCAATATTCCCAGAAAGGAGGTAGAATGAAGAGAGGTTCACCTCGCCAAGGCTCACCCACCCGATAGCCACAAGATTGAGAGACGAACTGCTTACCTGCGTGCTCACACCTGTTCACTGAGTGTGAACACGATCATTGAAAGGAAAGGAATTAGGTGGTTACCAGCATATGTTGCTCCTCAGCCCCCCCTCCAACACTGCTTGGCTCCGCCTTTCGCCCATCTGCCAGGGGCTGCCATCGCTGCTCCTCCTCCTCCTCCTCTTCGCTGATCTCCTCACCCTCTACCCTCCTTTGCTGCTCCCCCTCTTCCCTTCGTTTCTCCTCTCCCTCTTTTCTTCCTTCCTCCTCTCCCACTTCCCTCCTTTTCTCATCTTCCTCTTCCTCGTCCTCTTCTATTCGTTTCTCCTCTCCCTCTTCCCTTCTTTTTTCATCTTCCTCTTCCTCTTCCCTTTGTTTCTCCTCGTCCACTTCCCTTCGTTTCTCCTCCTCCTCTTCCCTTCTTTTCTCATCCTCCTCTTCTTCTTCCCTTCGCTTCTCCTCTTCCCTCCTCCCCTGCTCTTCCTCTTCCCTTTCCTTCTCCTCTTCCCTTCTCCTCTCTCTTTGCTCTTCCCTTCTCCTCTCCTCTTGCTCTTCCCTTCTCCTCTCCTCTTGCTCTTTCCTTCTTCTCTCCGCTTGCTCTTCCCTTCGCCTCTCCTCTTGCACTTCCCTTCTCCTCTCCTCTTGCTCTTCCCTTCTTTTCTCTGCTTGCTCTTCCCTTCTCCTCTCCTCTTGCACTTCCCTTCTCCTCTCCTCTTGCTCTTCCCTTCTCTCCTCCTCTTCCCCTCCCCTCACTTTCTCCACTTCCTCTTCCCGTATCTCCTCCCCTTCCTCTACTTCTTCCGTCGCCTTCTCCTCTATCCTTCTCTCCTTCTCTCCCGTCACCCCTCCCTCCTCTTCCTCCTCGCCCTTCCTAACAACTCCCTCCTTCATTTCATCAACCATCATCCACACTCCTGAATCACTGCCTTCAGTCGTTAATCCCACAGCCTCATCATATTCCCCTTCTCTTGCGTCATCCGCTCTCATCATCAGCACTTCAGCAGGGAGAGGAGGAGGAGCGAGGATGGCCGTGCTGTGAGCGGCTGCACTATCTCTCAGGCTCACAGCACTGCCACCCTCCTCCTCAACACCAGTGAATACCTGCCTAGCTCCTCCAAGCCTCCCACTGATTGCATCACAGAACTCGCTTCCTATTTCCATCCCCAGACTCCTTTCCCTTCTTTCATGTACCTTGCCCTTCTCTTCCTCTCCCTCCTCTTTCTCCCCTAGCCCCTGCTTCTCCTCCTTCCCCTCCTTTTCCTCCTCCTCTTGCTCCCCCCCCTTCTCCTGCTTGTCCTCCTCTTTCCCCTCCTCCTCCTCATTCCATTCCTCCTCATCAATCCCCCATCCCTCCTCCTCAGTACTCCAATTCGTTCCCAACAACTGCTGCCTGGTATTCATACTACCTTCCCCTCCACGCTCCAACAGCTGCTGTCTAGCATTGTCTCTCCCTTTCGTCCTCTCCACATCCCTGCTGGTAGAATCCCACTCTTCCCCCCTCCGGCCATCCCTCACTTCCTCGCTCTCATCCTGTCTTCGTTTCGCACTCTCATCCTCTCTCCTCTTGTCACCCTTGACCTCTCTCGTCTTCTCACTCTCGACCTCTCTCCTCTTCTCACTCTCATCCTCTCTCCTCTTTGCACTCTCATACTCCCTCCTCTTCTCACTCCCATCCTCTCTCCTCTTCTCACCCTCATCCTCTCTCTTCTCGCTCTCATCCTCTCTCCTCTTCTCACTCTCATTCTCTCTCCTCTTCTCACTCTTATCCTCTCTCCACTTCTCACTCTCATCATCTCTCCTCTTCTCACGCTCATCATCTCTCTTCCCACTCTCATCCTCTCTCTTCTTCTCACTCTCATCCTCTCTCTTCTCACCCTCATCCTCTCTCTTCTTCTCACTTTCATCGTCTGTCCTCTTCTCACTCTCATCCCCTCTCCTCCCTCTCTCATCCTCTCTCCTCTCACTCCAGTCATCCCTCCATCTGTCCCTTCCCTCATCTCCCCCCTTCTCACGCTTTCCCTCCAATGCTTTTGCCCTCAACGCTCCAACTTTTACCAGTCTTGAGTAACCCTTTTTTTCTACCACCTTGCTTTCACACATTCTCTTTGCACCAATCTCCTTTGCTGCTCCTATCCTCATCCCTTCTTTGCTCCCTTCCATCTTGCTCCCTCCCAATTTTCTGCCTCCCAGTTTGAAGCCTATGGTTGTTGGTGCCATCTTGGCCCCTCCGTATTCCCTCCCTCCGTGTTCCCTCACTCCAACCCCCTTCCCTTCCAACACCTTTCCTGTGACGGGTGCCCCTTTGCTTCCTGTAACCGCATCTCTTTCTCTTCTCTGCTCGCCACCACCGGTGACCATCCCCCTGCGAAATGCACTTGTCCCCACATTTTCCTTTCTTACACCTCCAGCTCTCACAGCATGCCCAGGCGGCCCCACACCCTTCACCTTCCCTGAAGCCCCACCAGCACCCTTCGCCAGCCAAGCACCCTCTAGTCTCTTCCCCTCCAATCGACCCCCGTCGCCACCATTACCACCACCTATTCCCACTCCTGTGCCTTGCTTCCCCACACTCCCAGCACCTGACCCAGCACCTGACCCAGCACCTGACCCAGCACCTGCCTTGCCACCAGCCTTCACATCCTTCCCGCTCCCCACGCCCCACGCACTCTTCACCTGCTTGCCCCCCTCTCTCCACTCACCCCCCACTCTTAACCCCCCACCATCAGCTCTCGCCACTCCCCTGTCTACCTTCCCTGCAATCCCTGCTGCATCTCCACCGTCCGCTCCACCCCTCCCTGCATCTCCACCGTCCACTCCACCCCTCCCTGCATCTGCACCGTCCACTCCACCTCTCCCTGCCCCTACCCTGCCACCGGCTTTCACACTCTTCCCATACCCCCTGCCTTCCTTGCTCCCACTCCTCACAACCCCAGCACTCCTCACAAGCCCACTACTCTTCACATGCCCACCACTCCCTTCTCTTTCTGCGCCCTTTCCAAGTCTGCCGCCCTCTCTCCACGGACCCTCCTGTGCTTCCCTCCCACCACCACCCCTCCCCGCACCTGCACCGCCCGCTTCCGACCTCCAGCCTTCTGAAGCATACTTTGCAGAAGCAGTGGAGGGAGCAGCTAGGTGTGCTTTTAATGAATGCTTAATTGGGGCCTGGGCGGGAGCAGCAGGGGCTTTCCCAAACAAGGTCTTCGGAGCAGCAGTGGAAAGGCCAGGTGGGGTGCCTGATGCACTCTTGGCAGGGACAGTGGAAGGAGCAGCAGGGGTTGCTTGTAACGAGGTCTTGAATGGGGCAGTGGGGGCAGGAGAGGGGGCTGCTGCCACTGCGCTCTTGTGAGGCGCTGTGACAGCAGCGGCGGAGGAGGAACCAGTCTTGCCAGAGGCTGTGGTGGTAATAGAGAAGGGGTCCTTTAACAGGCGTTTCAAGGGGGGAGGAGGAGCGGAGGGTTCTTTGCACACGCTCTTGAGAGGGGCTGCGGAGGCTGCGGCAGGGGAGACAATTGTGAGAGAGGCTGTGAGAGGTGCAGCAGCGGGTGCTTGAAACGGGGTCTTAGCAGGGGCGGTGGAGGGTGCAGCGGAGGTTGCTTGTAACGAGCTCTTGGAAGAGACAGTGGAGGGTGCAGCGGATTGTGCTTGTAACGAGCTCTTGTCAGCGGCAGTGGAGGGAGCAGCATCAGGTGAACGAACCGCAGAGCAAGGAGCAGCAGCAGAGGGAGGAGAATCAGAGGAGGGAGCGGCAGAGGCGGGAGGGGGTGCAGCAGCAGTGGAGGGGCGGAGGGCAAAGAGCACTTCGATGCCGGTCGGCGGGCGGTGCTGGGCAGGCGGGCTGATGGCAGGGAGTGGGGAGGGAGAAGGTGGGGGGAGAAGTGCGATGAGCACAGAGAGCACTGGGAAGAGGAGAGGTTCGTTCATGCAAGCAACAGTCCAACCGGAAGCTTCAAGTGCGTTCAGACATAAAAGCGAGGCTTTATGCGGATTTTCTTTCTTTCTTTCTTTCTTTCTTTTCTCTTTCGCGTTGATAAAAGCACATGCCTATACAGCAGAAAACTGAGGGAGTGAGAGGAGCGATGGGGGGGGGGGTCGGAGGGGGGGAGAAAGGGTGAGCGAGGGGAAGTATTTGAGTTTTAAGACTCAAAACATCACCCACTCACATTGACGCGTTGCTCTTAGAAGCCATTATTTTGAGCGCATATCAATGCGCGCCTGAAAAAAACAGTCCTGAAGGGGAAAACAGGGAAAACGATAAGGGAACAGGACAAGTGTTGAGAACGAAACGGAGGTGTGTGGTGCGTTGGAGGCAGAGAGGCAGGAGGAGACGGGGAGAAATGGAAGGGAGAGATAGGGAGGGAGGGAGGGAGGGAGGGAGGGAGGGAGGGAGGGAGGGAGGGAGGGAGGGAGGGAGGGAGGGAGGGAGGGAGAGGAAAGGGGGAGAGAGACAAGAAAGGGAGCGAGACGAAGGCAGGGATGTGTTGAATGGCGGGAGGCACGTAGAATGGCGAGGGGAAGGGAGGTGACGCGATTGAGAGAAATGGGGTGAGAGAAACCAGGTGGAGAAAGGGGATCGTAACGGACGGCTAAGAGCGGGAGGGAACGCGGCGTGGACCCAAGGAGAAAGGCCTACAGCTCTTCCGCGAGCCCGAGTGGCGACGACGCGACACCAGAGAGTGGGGAGGATGAGAGCGTGGTTCCCGGTGAGGCTGAATGACGAGGAAGAGTGATTCGAAGGAATGTTCTGATTGGCGTGCTGGGAAGTAGCATGAGTGCTATCGGCACGGCGCGACTCGTTGAACTTGGCGAGGACCTAGGGGATTGTTTGGCGTGTAATTCGCGTGGAAGGTGCTAACTAAAGCCGAAGCTCCAACAGCATCGCTTGCGAGCTATGTGTGTAATTCGCCTAAAAAGGCGTAATCAAGGCAATCACTTGCGAATTATGCGACATTGACGACGCTAGATACCCTACGAAAAGTATATCGATCACAGTCACGAGTTTCGTCGCAGTGGTGGCTCGAACAACTGGAGGGCTGGCGAGAAGTGGTCCGCTGTTGGCGAAACCCGAAAATACCAGAAGCGCCTCCCACTTCGCCAATTTTACCATAGGAGAGTGTTGGGGATATGTTTTAGCTTTTGTTTATTTCTCAAAAGAATGTTGCAAATAAATGTTTTAGCTTCTCCCTTTTTTGCTTCGAGTTTCTCCCGTGTCACGCCTTTTGAACCACCCTGTCCTCACCGTACTATTTTGCCGTATTTGTATCGTTAGACCTCAATAATGCAACCCTCACACTAGCTCAATTACCTACACCCATTTGTTATGCATTACGCGTACCTTATAACCACCCTCAAAGACCCCTACAAGCCCCTCTGAGCATTTACTTGGGGAATTACAGTACTGACATTGTGTCAAGTCAATCAAACAAAACATAGCAGTGCAGAAGTGGCATTCAAAAGGTAATGTGAAAATCAGGACATCCAATCAAGTTCGTCAGCTCTAGCAGCAGCACATCGAAGTGCACTGCCTAGTGCCAACAGCAGCTACCCCTCCTCACCTACACTGATTCAAACACAGCCCTAACCGCCCCTTCGCCCCCCTTATTCTCCCACACACCTACCCACCCACCCACACACAACCACCCCCTCCCCCCCCACCCCACCCTTGATTCCCCAAACAAGTGCATCCCTCCCTTACCTCAAAATAATTATGACAGCCATCACAGCCTATGATGGCTGTCACTGGTGGTGGTCCTGCCATCGCCACTGCTGCTGTAATTACCACTGCCATCATTTGTCCCCATCACCACTCCCACCATTGTCCCCATCGCTGCCACTGCTATTATCACCACCGCTGCTGCTCCCACCACTGCTCCCATCACTTCCGCCCTTCTTCTCCCCCAAGTCCACCTTAAAGATATAGGTGCCCCAGTTGCTATAATCCGTCCGCTCCACGCCGCCCACATACTCCACTGCCGCCCACGCATTGCCGTCCTCATCTATAGTGGCGGACATGAAGTCCCCGTACAGCAGCACAGGGATGTTGAAGCGGTACGCTGCACATAGGGAACGTTAAAAGGGAGGAGGGGAGGGGGGGAGAGGGAAAGGGGGGCTTGTAGGGCTCAGGTTAAAGGTACAATACAAGCAAGAAGTCCCCATGCAGCACCGTGTTGAAAGCCCTTGGTGTCTGACTGACATGACTGATGGGTCACACAGCTGACGTGGGGAAATGGTTTCTGGTGAGGTGGAGGGAGGTGAGTCACCGGCAGCGCAAAGGCATTCTCGAGTCAGCAAACCACAATGGACTGCACCGCACCATACCACACCATACCATACCACACACGCGAAGCCCCAAGTAGCGCTGAGAAGCTGAATACCCACTAAACTGCTCTGAGGGCGGACAGCAGCCCATGCGGCACACTCTACTAAGAATCCTCAAGCCAGGCTGTGACCTTCAGCAATGCATCAAGTGCTCAAACCAGCTAACGGTCACCGGCGTTACTCCTACTGAGGATCCCCAAGCCAGGCTGTGACTTACTGAGGTAGTCGTCGAGAGGCGCTTTTCCAGGACCGGCGACGACGATCCTGCCCACGTCAGTGTTGCCGTTGATGCGTGCGTAGGCAGCCGAGGGGTAGAATTTGGGGCCTGCCAGCGATGCTGCCAGGATGCCCTCGCCCCGGCTGAAAGGGGGGGAGGGGAGGGGTGAGAGGTGGGGGAATAAGAGGGGGGGGGGATGAGAGGTGGGGGAATAAGAGGGGGGGGGGGGATGAGAGGTGGGGGAATAAGAGGGGGGGGGGGATGAGAGGTGGGGGAATAAGAGGGGGGGGTGATGAGAGGTGGGGGAATAAGAGGGGGGGGGGGATGAGAGGTGGGGGAATAAGAGGGGGGGGGGATGAGAGGTGGGGGAATAAGAGGGGGGGGGGGATGAGAGGTGGGGGAATAAGAGGGGGGGGGGATGAGAGGTGGGGGAATAAGAGGGGGGGGGGATGAGAGGTGGGGGAATAAGAGGGGGGGGGGATGAGAGGTGGGGGAATAAGAGGGGGGGGGGATGAGAGGTGGGGGAATAAGAGGGGGGGGGGGATGAGAGGCAGCCGAGGGGTAGAAGGACGGGCCTGCCAGCGACGCTGCCAGGATGCCCTCGCCCCGGCTGAGCCAGGGGGAAGAGGAGAGGCAAAGGGGGGGGGGATGAGAGGTGGGGGAAAATGAGTGGTGGGGGGGATTGAGAGGGGCGGATTGAGAGGTGAGGCGGAATGAGAGGTGGCTGGTGTGACAATGGCTACACAGGTGAGGATAGGGAAGTGAGCGAGTGCAAGAATAGATAAGGTAAGCAAGAGGGCGCAGGGTATGAGATTTCGGGGTGTAAGAGAGTGCAAGGGTGCCATCCCATCCCCCATACAATCACTTCTGCATTGCCTTCCCCCATCCCCCACCCTCCCTACCCTCTCTGCTCACCTGTTGAGCGCCATGGTGGGCTGAAGCAGACTATTCCCCTCCACGCCCACCGCTTTGAACCGCTCCAGAAACACGCGGAACGTGTGCGCCGTGCGCTGGGGGCGGAGCGACAGCTGCAGGCGAACCACCACAGCAGTGGCACTGAGCTCCTTGCCAGCTGCAGACATAAACGACACCCACATCTGCCTCCTTGCAGGGTCCACCACCACGGCACTCGCATCCACACCCGCTATCCCGATGGGTGCGATGCCGTGTCCCATCTTCCAGGCTATCGGCACGGGTCCTCTCTTCTGGGTGACTGCGTGCGGGAGGACATGCGGCGGGGTGTAAACTGCGGCGCAGTGCGGTTCCACGCGGTTCTCTGCGTCCGGCGTGCCGAGGGCCATCGTGCCGGTGAGAGCAAAGGCGCCCATAGCGGTGACGTTGGGAAACAGTAGGGTCTCGTTGGGTGCGGGGGGGTTGATGCTGCCGGTGTAGGCGAAATACATGGTGCCTCCGTGGGAGTAGTCGTATGAGCCGTCTGCTGCGACCTTCTGAGGGAGAGTGGTCCAGGAGGGGTTGGTGGGGGTGGGGGAGGCCGGCACGACGAAGCGCAGAATGGTGGCGTTCTGTGCCTGCGCCAGCTGAGCCTTGGATATGGCGCTGGCAGGGGGGGGAGGGATGAGGGGACGCGGGGTTGGGTGAAGGGGTTCGGGAGGAGTGGGGGGGGAAGAGGCAGGGGGGACGCGGTGACTACACGTTTCATGTGGGGAGCGGTTGCATGTAGGGACATGCATGCGAATGTGTATGGCATAGAACACTAGTTTCTGCTAGCAAGCAAGTAGGTTGGGAATCAGAGGAAGGCCTAATGAGTACGAGCACACGAGCACAAGAGCAAGAATAAGAGAAGCAGAAGGGAGGGAAGAGTGAGTGCCGCCCCCACTGGTGACTCACAAAATGTTGGGCCCCAAAAGGCTTGAAAAGTCCTCCGGGAACTGGTTTGCCGACACGTACACTCCTGGTAGCGGGTGAGATGAGAGGACAGAAAAGAACAGAAGGGGGAGGGGGCAGGAGGGGGAGGGTACGGGAATGGACGGGAGGGGACGGGAGGGGACGGGAGGGGACGGGAGGGGAACAGAGGGACAGGAATTGGTTTGCCAACACGCACTCCTGGTAAGGTAATGGCCGAGAGAAGTGGCAGGGAGGGGACTGACGGAGGAGGGTAAGGGAAGGTAAGGGAACGAGAGGGGAAGGGTAAGGGAAGGTAAATGAGTGGACAGGTGGGGACGGAAGGGGACGAAACGGGACGGAAGGGGACAGGAGGGGGTTTAAGGAAGGAGAAGGGAGAGCGAGGGGAAGGGAGGGGGAAGCCGGAGGAAGAGAAGGGAGGCGAAGGGAGTATTTACAAATCAGAAGGGAGGACAGGAAAGGAAGAGAGCGGATGGGAGGGGACGGGAGGGGAAGCGAAGGGAGCGGATGGGAGGGGATGGGAGGGGATGAGAGGGGATGGGAAGGGATGAGAGGGAAGGAGATGGGAGAGGAAAGGAGGGCGTGGGAGTGTATGGGAAGGGGATGGGAGGGGATGGGAACGGGCGGTTGGCATGTGTGCGGAAGGCATGTCAAGGCACCTACCATAAGCATCGGTGCCGATTTGAGGATTCACAACTGCCAGGCCAGGCAACAACAAGGATTGATGGGGAAGGGAATGGAACGTTTAGATCAAGCTAGTGTACACTTTGTTGCCAAACAGCGTTGCTTAGGAATCAAGATACATCGCCAATGCGATATACTATTACTATCCAGCACGCTTTGTCAAGAAACGTGCATCGCCATTAGACGTGCGTTGTCTATCAGCGTTACAAATAGAGACGTGCATCGCCATCCCACGTACAGCGTGTGGTGAGTTGTGACGTGGCGAAGTGGAGAGGCGCCATCCAATCAGCATTGGAGTTGGTGCCATCGTTGCTGGAAGCGAGGGGAGCAGAGAGAGACATGGCAGAGTGGGGAAGAGAGAGACATGACAGAGTGGGGAAGAGAGAGACATGACAGAGTGGGGAAGAGAGAGACATGACAGAGTGGGGAAGAGAGAGACATGACAGAGTGGGGAAGAGAGAGACCTGACAGAGTGGGGAAGAGAGAGACATGACAGAGTGGGGAAGAGAGAGACATGACAGAGTGGGGAAGAGAGAGACATGACAGAGTGGGGAAGAGAGAGACATGACAGAGTGGGGAAGAGAGAGACATGACAGAGTGGGGAAGAGAGAGACATGACAGAGTGGGGAAGAGAGAGAGTGGGGAAGAGAGAGAGTGGGGAAGAGAGAGACATGACAGAGTGGGGAAGAGAGAGACATGACAGAGTGGGGAAGAGAGAGACATGACAGAGTGGGGAAGAGAGAGACATGACATAGTGGGGAAGAGAGAGACATGACAGAGTGGGGAAGAGAGAGACATGACAGAGTGGGGAAGAGAGAGACATGACAGAGTGGGGAAGAGAGAGATATGACAGAGTGGGGAAGAGAGAGACATGACAGAGTGGGGAAGAGAGAGACATGACAGAGTGGGGAAGAGAGAGACATGACAGAGTGGGGAAGAGAGAGACATCAGTGGAGGTATGCATGATAAAAGCGTGCGGAAGTTTGGAGGTGTGCATGATAAGAGTGGAAAAGGTTGGGGGTACACAATAGGAGAGTGAGGAAAGTTGTTGGTTGGCATGTACATTAAAAGCGGACAGGATTGGGGCACGTACACAGTTGTACACAGTTGGGGAAGGTTGGGCGAAAGCAAGCAGGTGAGCGCGAGAGGTAGAAAGAGAGATTGAATGGGTTTTGGGTGGTCTTACGAGCCAGGGATGAAGAAGGTGTTCCAGGGCTGGGTGGGGTTGTCGGAGGTGGATTTGGGAGTCACTTATGAGAAAACGAAAGCGAGTCATACGAGCCAGGGATGAAGGATGTCCAGGGCTTGGTGAAGGGAGGGGAAGGGATGGTGGAGAAGTGGGGAAGAAAGCGAGTGAGCGAGAAAGAGAGAGCGCGGAGAGGTGGAACAGCAGTCATACGAGCCAGGGATGAAGAAGGTGTTCCAGGGCTGGGTGGGGTCGTCGGAGGTGGATGCAGCCACTTTGAGCCCCGCTCCCACCGTGGTGTTGCCCCTCCTCCTCGTCTGCCCGAACTTGTCAAACGTGTTGTTGGCCGTCCCCGACTGGTGGCCATGGGAGTGCGGAACAGCAGTAGCGGAGGGAGATATTTCAGCTTGGCACCACACCAGTCACTCGGCAAAGTAGCAGCAGAAAGGATGGCAGGAAGCAGCAGCGGGCGCCGGGCGATACTGACAAGCCAGAAGACACTTTCAGTCGACGCAAAGGCCCGAGGTTTGTAAAGAGCAGCAGCGGACGGCACGGCAGCACTCACGAGCCAGAAGGCAGAGAGGTAGAAGCGGCGGGCCTTGCTGTCGTATGTGCAGGTGAGGACTTGTGCAAGCCTCAAAAGAGGTTAGCATCTCAGCGAGGGTTTAGGCGCCTCAACCCAGCGGCGGCACTCACGAGCCAGAAGGCGGAGAGGTAGAATCGGCGCGCCTTGCGGTCGTACGTGCAGGTGAGCCCCCCGATGTTGTCGCCCATCACTGACGCCTCAATAGGGTCTTTCTGGTCCACGTAGTCTGGGAGCGTTCCGAAAAACTGCATTTTAAACGAAGAAGGGGAGAGAAAAGGTGCGACGGGGAGAGACGGAGGGAGAGAGGAGGGGGAAAGAGAGAGAGGGAGAGTGCAGGTGAGCCCGCAAACGTTGTCGCCCATCACTGACGCCTCAATAGCATCTTTTCGGGTCATGTAGTCTGGGAGCGCTCCGAAGAACCGCAGTCAATCGGAGTGCGGGGAAAGCGAAGAGGGAGAGAGGGGAAGAGAGGGGGGGAGGTGGATGCAGGTGAGCCCGCAATTGTTGTCGCCCATCACTGACGCCTCGAGAGGGTCTTTCCGGTCCACGTAGTCTGGGAGCGTTCCGAAGAACTGCAGTCAACGCGGAGAGAGGGAAAGAAATAAGGGCACGGTGGGGAGACGTGAGAGAGGGGGGGAGAAGGAGAGTGGGGGGACGAGGGGGAGAGAGGGAGAGATAGGGGGAGATAGGGTGAGATAGGGGGGCCCGGTGGGAGAGAGAAGGAGAGAGAGGGGGAGCGGACAAGAGAGGGGGAGAGGAGGGCAGAGAGGAAGAGAGAGTTTAGGGAGAAGATGAGGCAGAGAGACGGGAAGAGACGGGGGGAGAGGGAAAGAGGCGAGCAATAGAGCAAGAGAGCACGCATGCTCGTGCTGATGCGCAATAGTGAGTGCGTGAGAGCGGCGAGCGCTCATGCCTGCCTGCCTGCCTGCTGCCGTGTGCTTACCTCGTTCTGAGGGATGATGCGCGTGAGATGCTTCCCCTGTGTGTCATACACCACCAACGCTGCTGTGGGGGGAGGGGAGAGAGTGAAAGGAGAGGCACGGAGGGAAAGGAGACACACGGAGGGAACGGAGAGGGCGGTAAATGAGGGAGAAGAGTGGAGAGGAGAGAAAGGTTGACGCCCGTGAGGTGAGCTGCTTCCCCTGCGTGTCGTACACCACCAACGCTGCCGTGGGGGGACGGGAGAGAGTGACACGAGAGGTACGGACGGAGGGAGAGGAGAGGGAGTACATTGAGGGGAGAGAGAGTGGAGGCGAGGGTTGATGCTTACAGGAGTGCAAAGAAGAGTACAGAAGAGAGAACAACGTTGACGATGCAAGTGCAGCTTTTGAGAGCGAAGAGGAGGTGAATGAAGGTGGGTTCAGCTCACCGCAGTTGACAGCGTGGACGATAAAGCCGTTGCCCACACACAGGGTCACGTCTGGAGGAGTCACGTGCACCTGACGCAGCAGAAGAAACACGCAAAGAAATACACGCAGTTAATAAAAACAGATCTTGGAAAAAATGCAAATAATTTAAATAAAAAGGGGGGGGGGGGGGGGGAGGACCTGTCTTCTAAAAATCTAAAAATCTAAAAATTCTCACTCACCACTGTGTTGTTGTACTTAGGCGCTGTCCCGCTGTTCACTCCACTGTACTCGTTTATTCCCGTCCCGGGAACCAAGGTGACTTTTGAGTCGATTCTTACCACTGTGTTGTTGTACTTAGGCGCTGTCCCGCTGTTCACTCCACTGTACTCGCTTATTCCCGGAAAGCCCACCGGCGCTCCGCGCTCCACCACGGGTTTCATCTCCGTTGTGCGCGCCAGGAACTCCCCCACCTCCGCCGCGCGCGCATTCTGTCAATTGGGGAAAGGACGGAAGGGGGAAGTGAGGAAGTTTCTGAAGAAGATTGAAATGCAGCACGGCTGACGCAATTCCAGAAGCATTACTACCTGAACCGTACAGACGGGTGCGTTGAATAATTTGATCAGGCAAACTATCCCGGCGCTTCACCGGTGCTTTGAAACTACATCATTTACTAACCTAACCACGCATTGCCGGCAGTAGGCTGGATTGACATAACCAAAACGTCGTACCATCTGCTGCTGGAGCGGATTCGGCGGCATCGGCGGCGGCATCGGCGCGCCTGCAGGGGCTGCGGCATCGGCAGCGGCTGGCGGCGGCGCAGAGGTAGTGTCGGCTCCGGCGGTGGCGCCGCCGCCGCTGCTACTCCCCGCGCTTCCGGAGTCGGCAGCCGGCGCGCCGTCGGCGGCGTTAAGCGGAGGCATTTGCGCGGAACCCGCGAACCAGAGGTGCTCCGCCAGCTTGAACACCTCCACGCGGTCGCTCGACCCGCGCAGCGGCGCGATCACCGTACGCACCGCCGCATGCGCCGGCGTTAGCGGCTGCAGCAGCAGGAGGAGGAGTGTCGCGGCGGGGAGATAGTAGTAGTAGTGGCGAGGAGGGGAGGTGGGACGTGCCATCGCGGCCATTGCGGTGATAGCGGCAGTGCTAGACGCTACCACGATCACACCTCAGCGTCACTCAGGCTCCGCCAAAATGGTACTCTGTGACTGACTGGCTCGGGTATGTATGAACTCAGTGATTCGTGATAACTTGTACTTGTAGATGAATAGTGAACCTACAATGATACGACAGGGTTTAGCCTCTGCTTGACAAGACGGCGATGATCCGTCTATCCGTCCGTCATTGTCCGTCTGTATGTCTGTCTGTGTGACAGTACACGTGCTCCAGCGTTGCGACCCGGCGTTCGCAAACCTCGCGCGCGACCTAAACCTGTAAAACACACACAAATAAAACGGGCCGCAAGGGCTGTATTGACTTGAGAAATGCCATGTCAGCAGAATTAACGTTTGAATTCGTCGATGTGGCTGTGGATTGCTCATTTCCACCTAAAAGTCAGTCCTGAATTTGTTTCTATCCGTTTGTGTCATCTGCGGAACTTGGATATTGGGGTGAAGCAGGCCCAAGCGAGATGAACAAAGGCGCTGAGATGCGAAAAGGCACTTACACGATCACCCCGTGTAGCTCGCGTGACGGCTGCGCGCCTTTCCACCCAGACTGGTACGGCGCAACTCCCTTGCGGCAGGGGCGCTGCCCTTGGGAATGCCGCGCGGAAAGCCAGGGCGCGCACCCATTTGCATATCTTTCTGCACTTGTGGCATTCCGGCACAAAGGCGCTTATTACATAATCACATCGTGTATTGGAACTTATGTAGCTCGCGTAGCGGCGGCTGCGCGACGTCCACCCGGAATTGTACAGTACGGCGGCGCAAGTCTCTTTCGACGTGACTCTCTAGGTTCACACACAGTGCGGACGGGCAATGAGCGGCGGCTTTCCGCAACCATTTGCAGATCGTTCTGCACATATCGTCCGGCACTAAAGCGCTGTGAATGGCTGAGCGAACACCTTATCTTGGCCGGATTGGCTTGAAAGGATATCCTAACTGTAATTCCGCCCGTGAACTGACCGAACAGCGAGTGCCACGTGCGTTGTTCAGAGGTGGCTCTCCAAGAAATGTAGTCGTACTGTACAACTACATTTGTTGCTATTGAGAGCACTCCCGACAAAGATGCTTGACCCGTACAAAGATGCTTTGCAGGTGAGTGAGTGGTTGGTTGCCGACGAGACGCGAGAAGCAAGAAGCTAGAACTAGTGATAAGGAGAAGTGAGAAGTGAGAAAGCCAAGGGAGGTTCGACAGTCCGAATTTCCGAAGGGAGAAAAGAGAAGGGAAAAGGGAAGAAGGGCAGGTGACGTTCGAAAAGGATAGGGTGGGGGGGGGGAGGAACTCTCTGAGCAATAGCGAAGGATTTCGAGTTGCGCCTCGCTTCTGGATCCTGAAGTTGTGCAACTTGGAACATACAAATCCCTTACGAATTAAATAAATAAATAAACATATAAAACTCCAACCCTAGAACATATCACTAAAATTAATTAACCATTTTTCGCCAGACTTCCAGTTCCACCCTGTCCTGAACGCAAATACCATAATTCCTCGGATTATTGACCATAGTGTTCTTTGATGACAATCATAATGTTGTTATAACTGAAGGATCGTAGTGGATAGAATAAGTCTGCTAAGTTAAGAGAAGACAATGAAGTCTTGGTAATGACCTTGTTGATAAAGTTGAAAGAGAACAAGATGATTATAGGATAGGAGTACAAGGGTATAAATAGCAATCCTAGCTAGCCATGTACTCTGAGGGGTACATTCCCTTATTAACTGAATTGCATTGCTACTGTAACCACGACTATTGCTCTTCTTGACAGTTACCATGTTGCATCGCGTAACTACCAAGTGCGGTTACTAGACGGTCAAGAGTCACGACCGTTGACCTTTTCGACTGTTGACCTTCGGGTGACTCTCGATCTTCCGCATGCTCTATATGAGCTATTGCGGTACTGATACAGACGTGTTGCTTCGTTATGAAGTGACGCGTGAGTGGAGAGCCTTCGGGAATGTTACGATAACCTTTCGGTTATTCCAACACTCCCCTTCATTCCTGAAGGTGAGCCACGTGGGATTTCTTCGAGATCCCGCAGAGGTCGGTGCAGTGCTGGAACTTTTGACGTGTCAGTTTCTTCGTCAGGAAGTTGGCTGCCATGTCACCAGTTGGGCAATACGTGAGTTTGACCTTGCCCTTGTCGATCTCGTCCTTGACGAAGAAGTAACGGAGTGCGATGCGTTTCGTGCGGTTCACGAAGCCGGGCTTGTTCGCGATCTTGATCGCGCTCTGATTGTCGCAGAGTAACGTGAAGTGCCCGTTCATCGTCACTTTCTCTTCCTGCAGGAGCTCCATCAGGTACAGTCCTTTGCGAACAGCTGCACTGGCGGCGATAAACTCAGCTTCAGCTGACGAAAGTGCGATGAGTTCCTGTTTCTGGGAGTTCCAAGAGATGAGTCCAGCAGGTTGGAGTTGAAAAATGAATCCTGTTCGGGAGCGTCTGTTGTCAATGTCTCCCGCGTGGTCTGCGTCAACGTAGCCATGAAGCTGCAGGGTAGTGGTGAGGTTAGCTTCGTAGGTGAGTCCGACGTCAGGAGTAGAAACGAAGTATTGAAGTGCTCGGCGTAGATCCAGTAGATTCTCCCCTTCAGGTCGCTTGCGAGCCTTCGGGAATGTTACGATAACCTTTCGGTTATTCCAACACTCCCCTTCATTCCTGAAGGTGAGCCACGTGGGATTTCTTCGAGATCCCGCAGAGGTCGGTGCAGTGCTGGAACTTTTGACATGGCAGTTTCTTCGTCAGGAAGTCGGCTGCCATGTCACCAGTTGGGCAATACGTGAGTTTGACCTGGCTTGCGACGTAGGAGAGATCGGGCCGGCACGTGACGGCGGCGAACAAGAGACACCCCAGCTGTTGCTGATAGAGCTGATGATCTTCGACGGAGAGGGGTGTGGTGTCAGGTTCGTGGTTAGGAGGAGGAGTGCGGAAGGGGGTGGTAAGGTTGATCGGTGCGACGGCGAACTTCTTCGCGAGTGTTTCCGCGTATTTGGCGGCGGAGAGGTGGATGGAGGTGGCGGACTGGGTTATGTTGAGGCCCAGAAATTGCGTGACGTTGTGGTTGATAGTCACTTCGAGCTTCTCCTTGATATTTGCCTTGAACCGATCCAGCAGCTCCGTGTCGTCGCCGGTGTAGAGGAGGTCGTCGACGTAGGCGACAAGGAGAATGAACTTGCCGCGCGACTCCTTTCGGTACATTCCGAGGTCATGTGGCAGCTGAGTAAATCCGAGCTCCGTTAGGACGGTGTGCAGGTACTGCTGCCACAGTCGAGGCGCCTGTTTGATCCCGTAGATGGATTTTTGGAGAAGGGAGACGGCGCCGTCATTTTCTTCGAAGGCATGCGGCTGCTCGACGAAGATTATGGCGTCGACGGGGGCGCACAAGCTGATGAGCGTGGAACCAGCTTCCACGTTCCGCGGCTCTTCAGCGCCGCGACTTCTGCTGCCATGGCTGCCTTCCACTTCTCACTGTCGGGGCTGGATAGAGCCTGGCGAACGGTGGTGGGTTCCTTGGGGGAGGCGTGACGAACAACGACTGCGAGCCCAAGGATGCGGAGACCAGTTTCCTTGGTCTTTTCGTAGTGGAGGCGATCGTAGTCGTGGAAGCTGGTAACTTCGACGACGTCGTCGTCTCTGTCGTTTCCGAGGCGGAGGGTATCTTGCGAGGAGTTTGGAGGTGGTAACTCGGCATCCGGGGATCGGCGCGCTTCACTGGTGTAGTTGTGAGCTTCGCGAGTTGTATCGGCTGGATCGAACTGATGAACATGTATGAATGTCGGAGTCTGGAGTGGGCTTGTGAGGGGGATGTTGGGATATGGATCGGTTGGTGTGTTGTCTGCTGCGTCAGCATCTTCCGCCAGGTCTGCTTTATCCTGTGACGTGGCGAAGCTGCGGTGCCCCTCAAAAACCCGTTCCGGCGCCTTGTCATCTTCGCGATGTTCCTTGAACAGTGGCAGAGTCAGCTTCTCGTGGAAGATGCAGTCACGTGATTTCGTCACTTCGTGTGTCGCGTAGTCCAGCACGATCCACGCCTTGTATTCTTTTTTTATCCCGAGGTGGATGCCCCAGCGTGCCCGGTCAGCAAATTTTCCGGTCCTTGCTGTGTGTGGCCTGTACTGTACCATGCAGCCGAACACTCGAAGCAGACGCGTGTCCGCTTTTCTGCCCGTCCAAGCCCTGTAGGGAGAGTTGTTGTTCCCGAGGCTTCGGGAGGACAGCAAGTTGTGCAGCCGAACAGCGTGGTTCATCGCAAACGGCCAGTACTTGGTTGGGGCGGACGACTGCTTCATCAGGGCCCTTGTCCTTGTGGCGAGGCTCCTGTTTGTCCGTTCTGCTACGCCTTGCTGCTCGTGAGCGTAGGGCAGGGACACCAGGTGCTCGATCCCCTTCTTGTTGAAGAGTTCCTTGAACTCGGTTGAGAAGAATTCCAAGCCACCGTCTGTCTGGAAGCTTTTCAGCTTTAGTCCAGATTGGCGTTCGGCTCGTTTCATCCAAGCCACGAAGCACTCGAAGGCAAGGGATCGGCAGTCGGTGTTGACTGCCCAGACGTGACGTGTGCATGCGCCAATGAAGGTCAGTGTGTAGTATTCCCCGTCAAGTCCTTCTTGGCTGAGAACCATGAAGTCGCTGTAGACCTTTTCAAGTGGCTCGTAGCGTTCATAGCCAGGGGGTAAGTCGGGGAAGGGCTTGTGAGTTAGCGACGCGGCAGGACAGACGATGCACGGTACGTCCACTGAGTCTGCTGTGAGGGAACCTCCTCGAGGCTGAAGCAGCGCGCCTTCGTCTAAGACTCCGGCCCTGAGTGAGTTCTTGAGCGTGATGTGAGAGGGGTGTCCGAGTCGTTGGTGCCACGTTTCTGGTTCCGCGCGGTAATCGATTGTCTTCTGATAGTATTTGTTCCTCTCTGCTTCGTCGTTCTGCTCCTTTTCAGGTCCTTTGTCGGCGGCGGCGTCGGCGTCTGCTGCAAA